AGGAAAAATATTAGTGAGGCTAGCTGGAACTTTTCTGCCAGTAGGGTCTGCTGTGCTGGACACTGTATACAATGCATTCCATTTATTTGGTTTGGCAGTGTTTCTGTGTAGTGGGTATACAGCATTTAAGTGATGTGTACTATGCCACCACCAAATGAGTTGCATCTGTTTCCAACACGTCTCATCTGCAGAGTTCTGCTTCACCAAGGGAACTCTGGATAGTGGGCTGGCATTGAATGGGTCCTAGCTCTGCCATATTTAGGATGTTTGAAATGTACATCTAACAACATTTCTAGAGCTGTGGCTGCAAAGATTGGAAAAGAGGAAAAAGCTTCTCATATGTTTACACTGCCATTCTATAGCAGATCAGTGAAACATGGTAATCCCCTACAGCCCAGATATTGTACAAAGACCCCTCTGATCTCTTGAATAATCTGTCTGTTTATTATTCCTTCTCCTCTGATCACAAGGCTCTATAAAATCTCTAGGGTTGCCAACAGAGCCTTAGGTCTGCGTGACTTCAGTGAGTCTGGAGCATAATAGGCAGTTTAGGAACAAAACAATAAAAATGTTCTCCCTGTGCCTGCGTTGGTTTCCTCTGGGTTCTCTGGTTTCCTTCAACACTGCCAAAGACATGCTGGTAGGTTACTTGGCTCCTGTCTAAATTGGTCCTTGTAGGTGTATGTGTGAGTTAGGGACCTGTTTGTAAGCTCCTTGAGGACAGGACTGGTGTCAATGTAAAGTATACAATGTATATATGTAAAGTGTAGGCACTTTTATAATTACCAATAACAATATAATATGAAAATACAATAGAGGGAATTTATCAAAAAGGGAGCAGCCAGAATCTGGACTAGCTGTGCCTAGCAACTAATCGGCTTCAGCTTGTTTAATAAGGCATAGTTTACTCTTGCAGTTGGGGAGTGGTAAAAATTGGTGGTTGAAACAGCTTTTTAAACCCCCCCCCCCCCCCTTTCCCTTTACTGTTGCAAAGGCAGCCTGATGTGGTGTACACACCTCACAGGCAAGCAGCACACATTATCTGCCCTGTCACTTTTTCAGTGGCCAGTACTGCCACCAAATATGACATATTCAAGTGAATGGGACTGCACTGTGAAGCAAGTGCTGGGCTCACAGTTGCAGCACGCTATTTCTATTAAAACAGCCAATTCGACTGTTAAAAAAATTAAAGAAAAAAAGTAATTCTGGAGGTGGCAGTATCATTTCCTGAATGCCTGTTCCCCACGTCTGCATCGCATCTGCGTAAAGCAATCCACTTCACAGAGCAATGCAGGTGTATACAATCCTTGACTGGTTACCATGCACAGTTGCTCCTAGATTATGTCTGCCCCAGTCCTATGGCCCTTTAACACTGATCAGCTTTTGATGTACCTTTTGTTGTTTAAAAAGCCGAACAAAAATGCATGAAAAGTATATCCCTTTAAATCCTGTTCACACCAGTTTGCTGTAGGTTTTATTGTGTGATGTTCAGTGTGTACTGTAAGTGTGCAAATGAAAAGAAACTGACAGTTCCAGTGAACACAGCCACAAGGATTGGTGCCAGCCCTGCACAGTTGTCTTTTGCTAAACTACAGGGGGGGGGGGGTTGGTCTTTAGTCCAAAGAGGAAACTGGGATGTCTGATTAGAGTATCTGAGCTAAAAATGAGTACACAAGACTCAGAGCAGCTCTGGATTTTTGACAGGATTAACTGGATTTTTTTTTTTTTTTTGTATTTATCGAACAGGCATCACAAAATGCTTTTAAATGTCTGTCTAACAGATGAGAAAAGTTACATATATTGTTGTATACACTTTAGTCCAGAAAAACAACAATGCAGTCCATACATACTACTTCCAGGTCGAGAGAGAGATCGAGAGAGAGAGATCGAGAGAGAGAGAGAGAGAGATCGAGAGAGAGAGAGAGAGAGAGAGATCGAGAGAGAGAGAGAGAGAGATCGAGAGAGAGAGAGAGAGAGATCGAGAGAGAGAGAGAGAGATCGAGAGAGAGAGAGAGAGAGATCGAGAGAGAGAGAGAGAGATCGAGAGAGAGAGAGAGATCGAGAGAGATCGAGAGAGAGATCGAGAGATCGAGAGAGATCGAGAGAGATCGAGAGATCGAGAGAGATCGAGAGAGATCGAGAGAGATCGAGAGAGATCGAGAGAGAGAGATCGAGAGAGATCGAGAGAGAGAGATCGAGAGAGATCGAGAGAGAGAGATCGAGAGAGATCGAGAGAGATCGAGAGAGAGATCGAGAGAGAGATCGAGAGAGAGATCGAGAGAGAGATCGAGAGAGAGATCGAGAGAGAGATCGAGAGATCGAGAGAGAGAGAGATCGAGAGAGAGAGAGAGAGAGATCGAGAGAGAGAGAGAGAGATCGAGTTTCGAGAGATCGAGATCGAGAGAGATCGAGAGAGATCGAGAGATCGAGATCGAGAGATCGAGAGAGAGATCGAGAGAGAGATCGAGAGAGAGAGAGAGAGTCGAGGTCGAGAGAGAGAGAGGTCGAGAGAGAGAGAGGTCGAGAGAGAGGTCGAGAGATCGAGAGAGATGGTTCTGCCCATAGATGGATCGAAATTCAGCTGGTTTAGCAGAAGCCAGCAGAATTTCAGTGGATATGTAGCCTCTACTGTTCAGCACAAGTTGATTATTAGATCGACTTCTGCCCAACGAAAATGTTGGAAAACATTTGTCAGTCAGTGGCTTCAGCTGCTGATCAGTGTATTTTGACAGCAGAGAGTACAGCTGTCAGAAGATAATGTCCCTGTGGGGGGGATTCTTCCATTCACATCACTTGTGTTGATGGGGGATTCTGTAGTTTCCTTGAACTAACACAATTAATCCCATTTTACATAATTCCACTAAATCCCTCTATCTGTAAGTTCTTAGTGGAATGATGCTCAGTTCATCCTTTTTTTTTTTTTATATATGGGTTTGAACTAAGGGATTTTTTTTTTTTTATTCCTTTTGGATAGAATAAGGGAGGGCTATAACCCCTGTCATTTTTTGCCATCTGTGTCCCATTGAGGAGATTTCCCTTCACTTCCTGTCCCATAGTCAAAACAGGAAGTGAGAGGAAATCCCTCCAGTGAGGGAAATCACTGCTTTCTATCAGGGTCACAAGAACTAGTGTCCCAATTGGAAAATCCCCCTCTATTCCTTTTCTTTTGACCCCCACAATTTAGGATTTTTTTTCCCTTAGTGATCATGGTAAACAGGACAAATAAAGGGGGTGAATCTCCCTAATGCGGGCACAGACGGCAACATGAACCTGACACAGATGTCTATGCAAATAGCACCAAAAGTAGTGCATGCACTACTTTAGAAATCGTTGCGGCTCCCACCAAGTCGGAACCGCACCGATATGACCGCTCTGATAGCCGACAATAAGGTACGAATTGCAAGTTGCATGGCATGCAAATCGCATGCCAAGTCACACCTGATGTGACCGGGGGGTAGCGTGTGTGTCATGGGGGGGGGGGGGGCAGGTTAGAAATCCACGAGGTAATTGGAGAGAAGAAAGGTGAAGCCTGCAATTAAGAATTGTCATTTCTTAACATTTTGCCAGGTGTCTTTACTTTTCATTGTGATGGTCCCCTTGAAAGTTTGGTTATATAAACAGCAGTTCCATCCCCAGCTAGTGAACTGAGAGGTTTCTGTGAAAAGCCCTGACAACTGTCAACAGGAAGGAGTGGGTGTACGGAAATGTCTTTTCAAAACTTCCACAAATGCAGCTTCCTGCTTTTCTAAGTGTTTGTCATACCAAAGTGCATAGGTTTCTTCATGGATATACCATGACTGCGTGTCAGAAATTACTGCTGGAAATGTTTATACTAAAGTTTTGTGATTCTGCTACAGCGGTAGTAGACTCTGCATGAGTTGTGGTGTTAGTCGGGATTTTTGTTTGTTTTTTTTTGTTTTTGTGTGTGTTGTTTTTTTTTGTTTTTTTTTTTAATCATACCCCCTGCAGGCTAATGCCATGTTGTGCTAGTGTGCACGGCATACTAGCACATTATGATAGACTTACCTGTCATAATGTGCCATTGGGTGCCAATAATGCTCCTGAACAGCTCAGTGTACTTTACAGCTGACAAGCAGGAGGAACATGCATGACAGAACAGACCGATAGGGTCTTTCCTGTCATAAAAGCCCTACCTGTCAGCAATTTAAATAAAAAAGTTTAGTACCACTTTAACAAGTTAATTTTTGGAAACCATGAAAGTTCCAAATGCATTGTCCTGAGAAGATGCTTACCATGAAATACTTATAGGTATAAGTGCAGAACAGCATACGTACATAATTTTTGCAAAAAAAAAAAAAAAAAAAAAAAAGGATGTGGAGGAGGAATAGACTAGCAACAACAGAAGACACTTACTGAGTTGAGAATACCTTTTAAACCACTTCATGTCTGGACACACTTACCCACTTCCTGTCCAGGCCAATTTTCAGCTTTCAGAGCTGTCACACTTTGAATGACAATTGCGCGGTCATACAACACTATACCCATATGAATATATTTTAGCGCTTTTTTTTTTTTTTTTTTTTTTTCCAAACCGATGAAACTTTTTATTTTGGTGGTATTTATTCACCACTGGGATTTTTTTTTTTTTTTTATTTTTTTTGCTATATAATTGAAAGTCCAAAAATTTTGGAAAGTTTTTTTTTTTTTTTTTCTTATAAAATTTTGCATATAAATAATCTTTCTTCATAAATCTTAACCACAATTTATTTAGTTATCTTTTTAGTAAAAAAAAAAAAAAAAAACACCTAAATTAGTTTATAACCAAAAATTATTTTTCTACATTTTTATTTATTTATTTTTTTAACATACTGTCAACCTAGCAGTGAAGTGTCACCATAGTGACACTGTACTACTTGTGAGGGGTGATGAAGATATTTATTTTTTTTACACTGATTGCTTTTACACCCATAAAGGCTGTAAAAGCAATCATTTCTCCTTCTCTCTGGCTGCATTCTTGCAGCCATTGAGAAATACTGGTGAGAGCTGTGATTGTCACAGCTTGGCACAAGGCTGTTGTGAATAGCCTTGTACCATGTGACCTATGTGATCATTCACAGATTTCACACATAGTAAACAATGATGTCAGAAGTGACATCTTGCTTACTACTATTCAAGTGATCACTGATTTGCCAATCGGTGATCACATGATCGGGACCTCAGACAGAGATCCCATACAGCGATCAGTGTTGCAGGCTCCCAGGGAGTGTGCACAGTCCAAAATGGTGGGCGTTGTTTATATACATGGGCCGGACGGGAAGTGGTTAAAACGGGGTTTAGTGTCAAAAAAAAAAAAACACATTATGAAAGACCTGCCTTGGGCTCAGTTCACACTAGCATTGAAAGCAGCATTTTTAATGCTTCTCAAACACCTATGAAAATGATACACATGGCCGCACACAGTGCTGTTCACACTGAAGCGTTAGCGTTGCGTAAAAATTGATGCTTAGAATGAAGCCATCCAACAGACCGCCAACTGGTCTTCCACCTTCAACTGGTCTTCCACCTTCAACTGGTCTTCCACCTTCAACTGGTCTTCCACCTTCAACTGGTCTTCCACCTTCAACTGGTCTTCCACCTTCAACTGGTCTTCCACCTTCAACTGGTCTTCCACCTTCAACTGGTCTTTCTCTTCCAGGTTTGCGGGCGCTGACCACTTGATTGGCTGAACTGCGATGACGTCGCTCACGAGCATGCACGCGGGAGTCTCAGCCGCGGCGCAGGGCTCTGAAGGAACTGCATGGGTATGCCATTCCTTTGGAGCGCATGTGCCGTGATGTCATTGGCTGCAGTGGCACTGATTATCTCCTAAACGGTGCATGTTTAGGAGGTATTCCTTGTACCTACAGGTATGCTTTATTATAAGCTTCCCTCTAAATACAAGTGTCCAGCGGGATTTTTCTACCACTTGTAATCTGTGGCTTTTGCGTTCTTCCTCCCTGGTTCTGGTTGCGATGACTGGTCTACCGAAGCAATGCTTCTTGTTGCCACCGCTCTCGCAGACGTGCAGTCAGTGCAGGACCCATGGCCACCTCATCAGAATGGAACATTGGACCCACATTCCAGCACCAAATTGCAGAAGACCAGAATGCTGTTTGTTGCAAGATTGTGAATTCAGCTACTACTGCATATAACAATCTTTATAATAATAAAAAAAAAAAGCAAAAGTTTGCTTGTGGTTTTTTTTTTTGTGTGAGGTTTTTTTGTAGCTGGAGTGCTGGTTTACAGTAAACCTTTCATAAGAGAAATATAGGTCTGCCATTGCTGACAACCTTCTGAAAAAGCTAGTTTCCTGGCCCCCTTGCAGACCTACTGCAGGGGTGTGGACATTTTTGAAAAAAATTTTTGTCCAGAGACTAAATCATTGTCACAATCTACTTGTCCCTCATGACAATCTACTTGTCCAGATAAAAAAAAAAAATAATACATTTTTACCAAAATCCTATTTAAATCTGAGGTGCTTTTAGGAATGTCTGGGGCTTTTAAAAACAAAAGGGGCTTTATGGCGACTTAACCACTTACCTACCGAGCACTTGTACCCCCTTCCTGCCCAGGTCAGTTTTCAGCTTTCAGCGCTGTCGCACGTTGACAATTGTGCTGTCATGCAACACTGCACCCATATGAAATTTTTATCATTTTTTTTCCATACAAATAGAGCTTTATTTTGGTGGTATGTACTCACCACTGGGTGTTTATTTTTTGCGCTATAAGCCAAAAGCGAGAAAATATTTTGAAGAAAAAAGTTTTTCTTTCCATTATAAAATTTTGCAATCGGGTAATTTTTCTCCTTCACTGATGTGCGTTAATGAGGCTGCACTGCTGGCTTGCACTGCTGGGCACTTGTGGGTGGCACTGATGATTGGTGCCGATCTGTCCTCTGACAATTGCTGGTTATTGGCAGTACTTTCCTCATGCTGTGACAACTGCATTTACAGGTGATCTGCTATGTCATTGGACATGGCTGATCGTGTGATAAAAGGCCGCTGTGATTGGCATTTTACCACCTCATGTGATCAGCTGTGTCCTTAGGACGTCATATGATGCCCTCCCAGAACTAGCCGGCCTATTCAGCTATCTGTGGTCGGTAAGTGGTTAAACGTGTATTAACCACTTGCCTACCAGGCACTTATACCCCCTTATTTACCAGGCCAATTTTCAGCTTTCAGCGCTGCCGCACTTTGACAATTGCGCGGTCATGCAACATTGTACCCATATGAAATTTTGATAATTTTTTTCTCACAAATAGAGCTTTCTTTTGGTGGTATTTAATTGCTGCTGGGCGCTTTTACTTTTTGCACTATAAATAAAAAAAGTTTCTATTATAAAATTTTTCAAACAGGTATTTTTTTCTCCTTCACTGATGTACGTTGATGAGGCAGCACTGATGGGCACTGATAGGCAGCACTAAAGGGCACTGATGGGCAGTACTAATGAGGCGGCACTGATAGGCGGCACTGATGATGGGCACTGACTGGCACAACCCCTGGGCACTGACTGGCGGCACTGACTGGCCCAACCCCTGGGCACTGACTGGCGGCACAGGTGGGTGACGCTGCAGAGTGGCACAGGTGGGTGACGCTGCAGAGTGGCACAGGTGGGTGCACTGCTGGGCACAGGTGGGCGGAGCTAGTGGGCGCAATGCTGGGCACAGGTGGGCGGAACTTGCGGGTGGCACTGCTGGGCACTGCCTTGATGATCGGTGCCGATCCCCGCTCTGACAACTGCCGGTTCTCGGCAGTACTTTCCTCATAATCTGACAGCGTGAGGAAAGTGCAGCCGAGAACCGGCACTTGCATTTCCCTCTGATCAGCGTGTCATTGGACACCGCTGATCACGTGGTAAAAGGCCGCTGTGATCGGCCTTTTACCACATCACGTGATCAGCTGTGTCCGTAGGACACAGCGATCACGGAGATCGCCGGGTGTGCGCCCCCCAGGAGAGCGCGTTCTGGGAGGCCGTCATATGACGTCCACCCAGAACTGGCCGGCCGCAGTGCAGCCGTCATTCGGCTATCTGCGGTCGGCAACTAGTTAATTTTACATTGCGCTGTATATCTCCTCTTCTCCAGCACCGCATCGGGGACTAGCAGGAAGGGGAAAGACCTTCCAGTGTAATGAGCACTGATTGGGTGCTTATCAGGAAAGGGGAGTGTCCGGCTTATCCTTTATCCTTTTCACTGCCAGAGTCCTTTTTTTGCATTTTTTGGACGTTTAAAAAATAATTTTATCCTTGAAGATTTCATAAACCCCCCAAACATTATATATTTTTCTAAAAGCAGACCCCCTAAGAATAAAATAGTGGTAGTTCTAATTTTTTTATGTTGCATAATATTACTGCAAAATTTCAGTAAAAATACAAGCAAGTTAATTTTAGGGCACAAAAAAGCAATAAATTTCCAAATATTTTGTAAAATATAAAAGATGAGGTTGCACCGACTAATTAGATATCCAATGTGTCAAACCTTAAATTTGTGTGCGCTCGTGAAATGCGACGAACTTCAGTACCCAATATTTTCAGTAGGCGACACTTTTAAAGCCCCTTATCATCCGTATAGTGTAATGAAGGAGGTCTCATGCTAGAATTATTTCTCTCATTCTGGCGTGCGCGATGATATGTAACATGTGTATCACAATCAATGTTTTCACGCATAGGGCCCCAGCTTGTGCTTTTACGTTTGTACGTGCATATGTGGGGGGCCTAAAAAAATTTTTTTTTTGGGTGGGGGGATGTTATGTGCTTGGGTGTAACTTTCATTTTTTACAATAAAAACAAAAAAAAGTCCCCTATGTGATGATTTTTGGTGACAGGTTCTCTTGGATGTCTCCCCTGAATGTAATGCAGTGCACATCGAACTGCTTTGACTGGGAATCCTGTCAGCGGGGACCCGGAAGTGACATCATAACATCACTTCTGGGTCAGGACAAGAAGGGGAGGGGCATGGACGATTAGCCGACGGCTGTGAGCTGCTCCCAGGCCTGTAGATGGGCAAGTGGAGCCTGGGAGACGTCATGCAGGGGGAAGTTCATACGGTGGGGGGGCTGACACTCTGTGGAAGCAATCGATGGCAGCGCTGCCGCCTGAATGCTTCCACCTGACTGAGCCCTGCTGCTTGCCCCCAGCAGAGCTAAAGGTTAAAAAGGAAAAAAAAAACTACCCACCGAAAACCGAACTACATGTCCCAGGCGTCGGGCAGTATAAATTCAACATCCCTGCCTACTTGTATCGGCATAATCTGAGTAATTTATAATAGGAGGAAGTTGAGGACAGGGGCATTCTTTTTCCATGTCACAAGCACACTGTATTGAAGCCAAAGGACTAACATGGAAACTAGAAGGAAATCTCTGCATGTTGTTGTGGGTTTTTGTTTTGTGTTGTGTGGGTTTTTTTTTTTTTTTTTTTTTTTTTTATAATGAGCCATATTCTGGGTGTAACATGGTGCCAAGCTGCTAAAATGAGTCTGCAGGAGACTTGGCATTTCACCTAAAAATCGCTGATGGTGGTTACAGTGCTTTGCAGACTCTTATGCAATAAAATAGAAATGAATGCAAATATGGGTGTATTTTTTTTAATTTGTGTTTTTTTTTTTTTTGCAAAAAGGTGAAATTAGCTTTTAAAGCCCAACTCTGGGCACAGCCCCACTGCAAAGGTTAACTACTCATTTTTGTCTAGGGGATGGGGGTTGAAAAGATATACTTGCCTAATCCTCTGATCCTCCTCTTACAAGTCCGGTCACTCTGGCTCCTGCTCCCACCCCACTGCTCCCTGCAGTCTAGCGATCTTGTGCGGTTGATTTATTCCTGACGTCATCAAGCCCATAGATCTGCTGTGGATGTGAGGTTGTCAAGAACAGTCTACCGCTGGTTTGTGGGGGAGTGCATTTTGCCGCTGGAGCAGAGGATAAACTTTCTGTTCGCCCCTGGACACAGCCCCACTGCATGGCAAAAACTTGATTTATTTTTTTGCTTGGAGTTGGGCTTTAAAACTAAGTAGTCTTGTAAATTTTTCTTTACATGAAATCTTTGCGTGTTTTACATCTGCATTGTGGTGCGCTGTGGCATGCGTGCAATGTCCAGTACTGAATTAATGGCACTGCAAAGCACGCACAGTGTTGTATGTATTACTGTGCATTGTGATAACATTCCCTCTCTGTTGCATAAGAGCTGGGGGAGGAGAAACTGCTGTACACGGATCTTAAATCAAACACAATATATATGGTACAATCCCAAAAATACATTTACCTCTGATCAAACTTACATAAAACCTAAGATGTAATACAAAATTGACTAAATGAGTTCATATTTGTCCATAATGATCAATAAAGTCCATAGTGAACGTCTAACAGCAGGCAGCACTACCAAGAGATAGGAATTGATCTCTGAAAAGACGGTAGGGAATACAAGGGGGCACTAAGTGTAGTATAAAAAAAAAAACAGCTTTAATTAGGCAGCCAAATGTGCACTTTCCTAAATCCATGAAGCGAGCACTTGTGTTAGCAGTAGCATCAGTAAGAGGGATTGTTTGCACACCAGGAGGAAATGTCAGGATGGATAGACATCGGAAAGCAGGACTGGAAGCAACGCCAAGCAATGGTTCATCCCGCAGCCTGATGTCCCTTCTGATTCCGTGGAGGTTTCGGCTGCCCGTCCATCCGTGGCCACCCGGCTCTTCCATCTATGCTACCAACCACTGCTGACCTCTCCCTGTGGTGTACAGACTATCCCTCTTACTGATGCTATTGCTAATAAAAGCGCTCTTTTCTTGGATTTATGCAAGTGCACATTTGGCTGCCTATTAAAGCTGTTTTTTTACTACTACACTTAGTGACGCCTCCTTGTGTTCCCTACTAGCACACTGATCTTTCTAGTGAAAGGCTGTGTGAGGGGGTGTCAAGACAAGTCTGATCATTGGAGAACAGGCTGAGTTCCCAGCACAGCTGGAGAACTGACCACACTGTGCTCTCCTGCTTAGTGTGGTCAGCTTTTAATAGGAAAGCAGAAGGACTGTCAGGAACACCAGGGATTTCACACAAAGGAAGCAGTGCAAAGAGAACAGGATACCTTTTTCATGCAAGTACATTGTACAGCAAAACGCATATCAGGAATATGAAATGTTGGGTTTAGATATTCTTTAATGTTTTATTGCACCACGGAATGGAGGTCAAGCATAGTAACTATTGATCTCCTTCCTATTAGTCATAATATTCCTGGCTTCTATTTATTATCTCAGATGAAATTGATTTTGACAGTGTCTTGTAAACATTGAGGACTGTCAGAGACCTGGAATGGGGGGGGGGGAGAGAGAATGAGTCTTGACTTGAGAAAAAGTTGAGATTTGCGCAATGGCTTTATGTTAAAAATAATCAGCATAGGAATCCCAGACAGGACAAGTAGTGACTTTATTCAATAATGTACTTTAGAAATTTTTGTCTAAACCAGTTTAGTTTGGTAGAAGGTTCACTTGAAACCACATGACCTCTTGGGGCCTGTTTACACAATCACCCCACGGTACTGTGTGTGTTACTGCATTGCTGATTAGTGTGTGTTATGCACATTGATGTAGTGCCATCAGTTCCACAAATTCATTAATTTGTGTTACACAGCAGCACAATGTGTTAGTTGGTGCCTTGTGCTGCAAAAAATGCTGCATTCATGGTTTTGGGTCCTAATGCACTGTACATTAACCAGAAAACCAACGTGTATGTTTAGCTGGGCAGATGTGAATGGGCCCTGATTGATCAATTTGGTATTATTAAGGTAATGATTCTTAATTATTGTTGTTTATTTTTTGTTTTCTCTTAGGGTCTATGCACACTTAACGTTTTTAATTCTGCCAGAAAAATGCTCTCAAAAATGCAAAACGAAAGTGAAGTGTGGTTGTTGTGGTGTGTGTGTGTGTTGTGTGTTTTTTTTTTTTTTTTTTTTTTTTTTTTACCAGTGTGCATGGACCCTTAGATTGTATTTAAATAACTGACTTCTCTTAGTTTCTCCATTGTGGTCTGTTAAAGTGGAACTAAACCTAATTTTGTAAAAGCTGGTAGCTGTAAATTGCAGAAGAGACATGCTAGGTCTCTTCTGCAATAGCACACACCTGCCTGCTTGCAGACTTCAATTAAAGTGGATCTACACTGTATCTGAGTACAAGAAACTAAAAAACTCATTTTAATTCATTTTTTAAAACTCAAACTCGCCCATCCATCCGTGTCTGATTTAGTTTGCTGAGAAATTACTTTGAACACTACTCCCTAGTATTTCTGGCTGTGGCCATTGTATGTAAGGGCAGACAAACCATGTAGCGTTTACTTCCTGGAAGCCGTCTGCCCTTAGCTCAGGTATGCGGGCAGGGGGGTGTGCTTCGCTGATAAAATCCCTCCTCCCCTCCTGAAGACTCCTGGGATGTATGACATAATTTGCCTAGGCATGGAAACCAGGAAGTAACTGAAGAAATGTGAAAGGTTTTAAAACCGGAAAGTATATCATTTACCCATCTATTTACTAATGCTAGCAGCATAAGGATTAAAAATAATCAATGGTGATTGAGAGCGTGAGGTTCTGCTTTAAATGTACACTGAGATGCGCACGTGCAGCTCAGTTTGCATACCCAGCACACTCTAGCTGTGCCAGAATGACTGGACTACTGTGTGATTGACCAGAATGAAGTCACCCCACCCCACTCCTGCCAGTCAATCAAGAGGATGAAAACCTGGCACCCAGAAGTGGCACAGGGGGGAGGGGTGTCGGCGAGGGCTATAACTGCTGCATCGGTGAAAGGTGTAGGTGAATATTTTCAGGAGTTTAGTTTCCTATTTAAATATACAGTTGAAAGTGTTTTGTTATATCTGTTAAGTGCAGAAAAAAATACCCGTTGATCCTGTCAGAAATCTTGTGAGCTAATAAACTTATTGATTACATTGTTTCCAGCTTTCTAGGAGGACTACAGAATCCCTCTGCTCTATTTTTGTTGGGAATAGGAGAGGGGGAGGTGTTTTGTAGTCCAAATCAGAAGATCAGCCTAGGGTGACAATGCTGCTTTTCCATAAATACAGTATAGTGAGGCTAGCCATACACTATACAATTTTCTGGCCAATTTCCTTTAGATTTACCTTCAACTATATAGTGCAAGAGCCTGCCTAATTGGATACAATTGAAAGTGTTGTTTAGGTTTGACCTCCTATTATATGGTTTTTGGTAAATCTAAACCAAAAATCTTAAGAAAATTGTATAATGTATGGCCAGCCTTAGTGTAGTCACCCTAGGACAGGAATTGTGTTATTGGCAAGATTATCAGCTGATGGTAAGGGGGGGGGGGGGGGGTGGTGGATGAATTAGGTCACCACATCTAAGTAATGGTAAGTTGCAATATATTACCTTTTTTAGGTTCTTAAAGCTGAGTTCCACTCACCCTGTCAAATAAAAGTAAGAAGCTACAAAAACTGTAGCTGCTGACTTTTAAAAAAAAAAAAAAAAAATACAGCCACTTACCTGTCCCTCAGTCCTGTGGTGTGTGTCCCACAGCTCGTTTCACTGTGGGCACCCGGCTGTGATAGCTTGTAACTTCACAGCCGGGTACCCACTGCACATGCGCGAGTAGCGCTGCGTTTCAGGAATGGCCCTATAGTCTTCTAGGACCTGTCACGTGTCCCAAAAGACTACAGGGAGGGAGCACACCTTCCGTTTCCAATCGCCTAGGCGATCGGACTGGAAGTGGGAGCTGTTACCTGTCAAATTTGGGTACCTGCTCCCCCCCTCCCCCCCCAAAGTGCTAATCCTCAATGGGGAGCAGGGGAGCAGTCCTAAAGTGGTACTTCCCCTTTTGGGTGGAGCTCTGCTTTAAGTTCTTTACATTTTGGCGACTTCATAATGTAAATATGTGGCAGCAAGAAAAGTGGTCTTTAACGCCCAGCCACTGCACATATGTGTCTTTGGTGGCCTGAGGTTGCATGCCGAGAGCACCTTCACTGTGAGCTCCCAGCAACTCTGGCTTATACTTTTTTGGTATCGGCTATCGGTTCTTTATAGGCACACAACCACATGGCTATATCTGTGTCTACAGTATAGACCGCTAAGAACTACTGTTATACAAGCAACTTTGTAGCTGCTACAAATCCTCTATTTTCTGTGTTAATTGTTGTTGCATGCAGAGTTGCCACTGTAGACAGCTAAAATACCATCATAATCAAGTACAAATCACTGATATGGCATGGACATCAGTAGCTGCATTGGATAACATGATTATGAACCAATGCTGGCAATTTCGTAGCCAGCGCAAAATACTGCAGAAAGTCAGTCAGTTTCTTGGCGGCTCAGTGACACATCGTTGAAACTTTTTGGATACACAGACCTCTTATTGTATGTAATTAATGTTTCCCATTAAAACACACATGTGCACGAACATCTATTACAATGATTCTGTAGGAGCTACAAAGTTGCTTGTGTGACATGACCATAATGCAAGTGATAAGTGCCATATTGCTCTACATTCTTCTTCTTTGCATTTCCCAGTGCACATAAATTGTGGATATGACTGGGAATGGAATTTAGATTTAAAGTATGACTAAAGGCAAAACTTTTTTTTTTTTTTTTTTTTTTATAGTTTTGGATAGAGTGGAGAGAGGTGTCTGTCTGTCTGTCTGTCTGTCTCTGTTAGGGAGATTCACCCTCGCTATTTGTCCTGGTTACTGTTCTCATTGAAAGTAAAGGAAAAGCCCAAATATTGGCTTCTCCCCAGAAAACTAATAGAGGGAGACTTTTCTAATGGGGACACTAGCTCTGGGGGTCCCCAAGGAATTCCCCTAATTTGCAGGAATTTCCTCACTTCCTGTATAGCTATGGGACATGAAGTAAAGGTAAATCTCCCCAAAGGGACACAGATGGCAAAAAATAAACTGACAGGGGTTATGACCCTCCCTTATTCTATTCAAAACTGGGGAAAAAAAGTTTTTGCCTATTCTACTTTAATCTTATTTGTAAGCTTAAAATGTTACTAAACCCACAACAGTAAAAATCAGTCTCTATATTCAGTAAAGCATGCTTGTTCTAATCACTGTGGAACATAAGGGGTTAATCTCCTGCATTGTGTAAAAATACTGTTTGATCCTGACTTTCTCTGATCCTCCCTTTCTTCCAGTGTTCCCCTCTTATCTCCTGATAAGACAGATCATGTGGCATCACTCTGCACATGCTCAGTTTGGTGTGTATTGCTAGAGAGAGTGCATGTGATCAGCAGAGGGCCAATCAGCGCTATCCAGACAGATCAGGGGATCTACATCCTTCTAGAGCAAAATTAAAATTCCTCCTACAAGCTTTAACCAGTGCTCTGCTGGACACTGATAAGTCACAAGACTGCTGATTGGAAAAGGTATTTTAGCAGGTTATATTTACTAAAATAATTGCACTTCCATGTTCTGTGTACTGTGGGAGACCAGGTATAGTGAATGCAGGGTCCTGGGTTTAGTAACACTTTAACAGAAGAAACATATATAGCATATACTAAATTTCAAAATGTATTGGTATAAATCAAATGAAGGTATCCCATTTAATTTAAAAGATGACTCCTTCTTTATTTCAGATTGATAATGAATGTAGACAATGAAGTTAGACTCTTGGTGGAGCAGATCCATCGTCTTGGCACAAAAGGTGAATATATTGTGAAAATCTGTTTAATATAAAAAAATATATACAGGAATTGTAGATAATATATGAGTAACACTTGATGAATACTGGCCATAGCTCCTGAAGATGCTCCCATTTGTGAACTATTTTTATTAAAACCTGCATAAGAGCCCATCAACTTAAATAGTTTAGTGTGTTTTTTATTTACTATGGTCAGAGCTAAAGAGCAAATAGTCTAAATTTAAAATATTGTAAAGGAATAGCAAGTAGACCTTCATCTGGCACCAGGCTCCCTTCAACAGGGCTGCGCACAATCGTGTGTGTGTGTGTTATTTTTGGGTAGGGGTTGTGCGCCCCGCCCTTCCCATGCCACCATTGGCGGCTACAGCTATCGATCACCGGGTCCTGGCTGGAGATTTTCCGCTGGCACCCAGCGATCGCCGAGGAACACTGACAGGGGAAAGGTCTGTATGTAAACAAAACAGATCTCTCCCCTGCATAGCAGAGCAATACAAAGCGGTATGCTTGCATAGAAAAGCACACAGTTAACACCTTTGATCGCTCTAGATGTTAACACTTTCCTGCCCAGTGTCATTAGTACATTGTCAGTGCGTTTTATTAGCACTGATCACTGTATTAGTGTCAAAGGACATATCGTATTTTTCGCTCCATAAGACACACCTACGTTTTTTAGAGGAGGAAAACAAGAAAAAAAATATTCTGAACCAATGGACTGCGGACACAGCACAGGGGACGACCAGAGGCTGCGGACACAGCACAGGGGGACACCAGAGGCTGCGGACACAGCACAGGGGACTGACCAGAGGCTGCGGACACAGCACAGGGGACGACCAGAGGCTGCGGACACAGCACAGGGGACGACCAGAGGCTGCGGACACAGCACAGGGGACGACCAGGGCTGCGGACACAGCACAGGGGACGACCAGAGGCTGCGGACACAGCACAGGTAGGACTAAGGAGCAGGTTCTGCTGCATAGAAGAGCAGAGCGGCTGGCCCGATATTCTAACACGGCGATGGGGGGGGGGGGGGGGGGATACCGGGCCGGCCGCTTCATAAGACGCACAGACATTTTTTTTTTTGGGGAAAGTGCGTTTTTTATAGAGCGAAAAATACAGTAACTTTCATTTGGTTGCAGCGTTGCATGACCGTGCAATTGTAAGTTAAAGTAACGCAGTGCCGTATCACAAGAAATGTCCTGGTCAGGAAGGGGGTGTAAATCCTCTGGAGGGGCAAGTGGTTAAAGGGGCTGTTAACATGCCTGTGAAAAAAAAAACAGAACTTCCGCTGTTTTTAAAACACAACGTACCACCACTCACAGCTATTTCGTTGCTCAAAGAAAAAGGTAAAGTTGAGCTTCATGGCAGATGTGGAAAACAGAATTTAATTGTTTCCAGGCAACTAGCATAAATAGCAATCTGAATGCCTTGGGACATCATGTGTTCTTTCTATAGCATTCCAGGTACCCCAAAAACTGCAGCACATTAATTACATGCCAGAAGTCACTTTCTTGGGCTAGAGCTATACAAGAGTTAAGTACCTCATTCATGCTACTAAGATTGCTAAGAGTAGAAATTAAATACCAAGCAGATCAAATAAATGGCCGGCTATAGTGCAAGCTATAAAAGTAACATACATTGGCAATTAATCTCACATATTCACACAAAGCCCTAATCATGTGAAACTGGTTGCTACAAGATACTACTGCATGCACCATGGCATGGGGCCCTATAGCAACATTTTGATGGGATTCCCAGGTTGACTTTCTATGTAGCAGTATCAACTGTGATAATAATTGGAATTGATCTTGCCTTAAAGTACACCTAAATCAAGGACATAATAATTGCTGCCCCATAAGGTTTTAGCCGAGGAGAAACTTTGAGGGTTTTTTACAGCTTTAGACATTCTCGGTTATTTCAGTCTCTAGCAGGAGTTCAAAGGGCAACAAATCTACACTGCAAAGACAGCAAAGCTTCTTACTGCACAGAGAGGGATCAGTGACTAGCTACGATCCCGAGGTCTGGCAGCCTGTCTGTACTGGAAACTGTTTAGTTTTCCTTACCAGCCTCCCTAATAATAGGTAATCTCCTACCCAAGGCCCCATAGCAGCTGTGTGGGCTACTATGGCTATTGTTACAGCATTGTTCTATAGGGAGCCATTTGTCCTGTTTAGCTATCATTGGCTACTCCTAGTAATTTTAGTAGTATACCTGAGCTGCAAAAAATTGTAGTAGCTTTGGCCTTATAGGGTGAGTGCCATCAAGTGATTAGATCTCTCTGTATCAAGAGATTAAAGTTGCATAGTCCTCATACTGACCTCTGACATGAGGAAAAATGAAGCACTGATATGCCCCTCCAATTTATTATGTCTCATGAGACATTAATCAGAATGTCATTACAATTAGGGCCCATTCATGCAAGCGTGCACATTATTACAACACATGGTAATGTTTTACATACGTTAAAACATTTATTCTGACTGGCACTTAGCATACCTTCCTAGAATACATGTATTTCAGTGCAATGCTCGAACGTAAATGCTTCCCTAATGCAACTCACACGTAACGAACATGCATTTAATGCCCCAGAGTTGACCAGGATAGGATGAATGGGCCCTTAAGAATGAATGACTGGTGGGAGGGACATTCCTCTGGGCTTCCAGAATCTGGAGCAGCCTGTACATGGCAACCCATTTACCTCTACCTTTCATTTTCAAAGCTTAAAGCGGAACTAAAGTCTTAAAGTGATTGATAACAAACACCTTGTAAAACAACCCATCAGTTTACCGCTTTAGGACCACTGGCATTGTACTGCGGACAGACTGCTCCTACAGACTCGACGACATACCTGTGCCTATTTCCAGGTTCAAGATGACTGCCCACTCCCACTGTGATTGGACACAGCAGGATTTTGTCAGCAAGTCCCGGCCAATGAGTCCGTGGCCAGGACCAACTGATCGGCTATGTCCAATCACAGCCCAGAGCCTTTTTTTGACAAACCATACAGGGCTCAGTACAGAGGGAATGATCTTTGTTTCTTCTCCCTGCAAACCAGGAGAAGAAACCAAAAGCAGTTCCACATTTTGTCATGTTACAACCAAAAATGTAAATGTATTTTTGTAATAGACCAACACAAAGTGGCACATAATTGTGTAATGGAAGGAATATAACTGGTTTTCAAAATTTTTTACAAATATCTGAAAAGTGTGGTGTGCATTTGTATTCTGCTCCCCTGAGTCAATAGTTTTATAGAACCACCTTTTCACTGCCATTACAGCTGCAAGTCTTTTTTGGGGATGTCTCTACCAGCTTTGCACACATCTAGAGTGAAATGTTTGCCCATTCTTCTTTGCAAAAAAATAGCTCAAGCTCTATCAGATTGGATGGAGAGTGTCTGAGCATCTGTGGCAAGACTTGAAAATTGCTTTTCACAATTGGATTTAGGTCTGGACTTTGACTAGGCCATTCTAACACATGAATATGCTTTAATCTAAACCATTCCATTGCAGGTCTGGTATGTTTAGGGTCATTGTCCTGCTGGAAGGTGAACCTCCACCCCAAATCTCAAATCTTTTGCAAACTCTTAACAGGTTTTCTTCTAAGAATGCTCTGTATTTGGCTCCATCCATCTTCCCATCAAATCTCTCCAGCTTCCCTGTTCATGCTGAAGAAATGCTTCCCCACAACATGATGCTGCCACCACGTTTCACGGTGGGGATGGGTGTGTTCAGGGTGATGCGCAGTGTTAGTTTTCCACCACACGTAGTGTTTTGCTTTTAGGCCAAAAAGTTACATTTTGGTCTCCTCTGACCAGAGCACCTTCTTCCATGTTTGCTGTGTCCCTCACATGGCTTCTCACATACTGCAAACAGGACTTCTTATGGCTTTCTTTCAACAATGGCTTTCTTCTTGCCACTCTTCCATAAAGGCCAGATTTGTGGAGTGCATAACGAATCGTTTTCCACATCTGAGCTGTGGACCTCTGCAGCTCTTCCAAAGTTGCTATGGGCCTCTTTGGCTGCTTCTCTGATTTAATGCTCTCCTTGCCCGTCCTGTCAGTTTAGGTGGACAGCCATGTCTTGGTAGGTTTGCAGTTATGCCATACTCTTTCCATTTTCGGATGATGGATTGAACAGTGTTCTGTGATATGTTCAAAGCTTGGTATAATCTAACCCTGCTTTAAACTTCTCCACAACTTTATCTCTGACTGGTCTGGTGTATTCCTTGGCCTTCATGATGCTTTTTGTTCACTAATGTTCTCCAACAAACCTCTGAGGGCTTCACAAAAACAACTATATTTATACTGAGATTAAATTACACACAGGTGAACTCTATTTACTAATTAGTTGACTTCTGAAGGCATTTGGTTCCACTAGATTTTAGTTAAGGGTATCACAGTAAAGGGGGCTGAATACAAATGCACATCACACTTTTCAGATCTTTATTTGTAAAAAAAATTTAAAAAACCATTTTATCATTTTCTTTCCACTTCACAATTATGTAACACTTTGTGTTGGTCTATCGTATAAAATACATTTACGTTTTTGGTTGTAACATGACAAAATGTGGAAAATTTCAAGGAGTATGAATACTTTTGCAAGGCACGGTCTACCATCGTTTGTAGACTCAATAACTTTCACACAAACCAATCAATATACACTTATTGGTATTTTGTTTTCCAAAAGACATGTAGTAGATTTTGGCCTAAATTTATGAAGAAATGTGATTATATTTTTTTTCCTTAATGCATATGTTTTACAGCAGAAAGGGGAAAAAAATTGTTTGTTTTTTTAGTTTTTGGACTTTTTTTGTTTTTGTTTATATAATCAAGATTAAAAAAAACCCAGTGGTGATTGAATACCTCCAAAAGAAAGCTTTATTTGTGTGAAAAAATATAAATTTAATTTGGGTACAGCGTTCCATGATTGCGCTATTACCAGTTAAAATAACACAGTGATAAATGGAAAAGGCCTGGTCATGAAGAGGGTAAAACATTCCAGGGCTCAAGTGATTAAAATAGAAATGAAAGACAAAACATTTGTGTAAATATTTAAACATTATAAACACTTTTTTTTTTTTTTTTTTTTTCTTTTCTATAAAGTGATCATATTCCCTCTGTTTTCAGTTGAATAAGAGGAGAAGGGGAGGAGAAGCAGCAGCGCACTGGTCTTGCCAGTGAAAGGCTGTGCAGGGGGGCACGTCAGGACAAGTCTGATCATTGTAGGAGAGCACACTAAGTTCCCAGCACAGCTTGGAAAGCCAAGGGACTGGCAGGAACACCAGGGATTTCACACCAAGGAAGCAATGCAAAGAGAACAGGATACTTTTTTCATATGAGTACAAGGTACAGCAGGCACATATCGGGAATATGAAATATTGGGTTTACATGTTCTTTAAAGTAAAAAAGACTGAAGCAGGGTAGAAGATACCAGCAACAGTGAGGGATCTCAGACTGAACAAGAAGTAATTATTGCAGACTTTAGTTCTGCTTTAACTGAACAAGCTGAAGATGGAAGCTGATTGTTCTTTGCTGAAGTGAAAATCCTCTTTCACAGTAATGCTAATTTATGTAACTTTTGTTTATTTGCAGACAAGGATGGGAAAGTGAAAGTAAAATTTGGTGTATTATTTAATGATGACCAATGTGCCAATTTATTTGAAGCCATGGTTGGAACTCTAAAAGCTGCCAAACGTAAGAAGATTTTATCCTATGATGGAGAACTGCTTTTACAAGGGGTACATGACAACACAGAAATTCTGCTGCTTCAGGAGTAATCTAGATTACAGATATTTCAGCTGCACTAAAGAGAAACCTCTTTTTAGTCAAAAGAGAAAACTATTTTCTTCAGAAAACCTGTGCACAATCAAGACAATAAATGTGGTATTTTTATATGGGAAATTCATGGTAACATTTTTGTTACATTATTTTGTTTGAAAATGCCTTCCCTTTTTGTCACCTTTAATGTGTAAACCAGCAATAAAGTCATATCACCATTTGGGATTATGAAACAGTATCTGTGTATGTTATAAATCCAGCGACTATTACAAAAACAATACTGAATACATTAGTGCTGGCTCCAGTGTTTGTAGTATAATCATATCTGGATATATTTGTATTGTCATCCAAAGTGTTTTGTTTATTTAAAGATCTTTGCTTTCCTGTTTGGTCATGGTGGATGATTGCTTTGCCAGTGTTTTCAGAACCAGCTGCCAAATCTTTTTGGAAACACACTTTTTTAAAATCTATAAAACCCTGTATCTACACTCTCTCTCATCTCGTGTACCACAAGACCACGTAATCTTCACTTTAAGTGACCCTAAACTATGGATTAAAGAAAAAATTGCAAGAATGTCTTCTTGGTGTCACACTGGTTTACCTACTCCCCCCCCCCCCCCCCCCCCCCCCCCAGCCTTTTTAAGAGTGTGGGGTTTTTTTTTTTGTCCCTCTTTTGCTCAAAAATGTGACCCTGTATATAAAATAGCACAGTTATTGAGTAAAGGGTGCAGCACTTCCAGTAAGTATTCAAGTAAGTGTTAGGACAGAAGTATCCAGCTTACCAGTGCATGTAACAAACCTATTTCTGTAATATTAAAACCATCTCAAATAATATATAATTATGCGCAAAAATAGAATCCCTAAGATGATTATGAATCTAATAAATACGAATTCCTTAACAAAATTACAAACCCACCATTCCTTGTACTATGACAAATTTGATCGATCAATCAATATGATTGTGCAAAATAAAGTGCAACATTGCCACATAGTGTGCGCGCGCACACAATAAAAGTCCATAAATCTTAAAAAGTGCGGTAACAGACCTCTTCTTAATGAATATATAATCCTTCAAATGGTCACACATGTTCTGAAGTACTCACTCACCAGATTTTAAATAATCCCTTATTTACATAAGAAAGGTCTAAATGCTCTTTTATACAACAATCTCCACCATCTCCTTGGGTATATTCCTGGTCACCACCTGTTACTCTTCCTCTCCTTTTATAAAGCCTCATGTACTTCCACAGCCCTTTTTTTTTTTTTTTTTTTTTTTTTTTTTTTTTTTTTTTTTTTATTAAATGCTCAATAGTACTATCAAGGCACCCTGTTCTAAAATGCAAAAAACTACTCTAGACTTGTCACGGCATCAAACACAAAGCAAATTTTATCTTTGCAGATTGGTACTGACTAGTATTCCAGCATCTATCTCTTCTTTGTTTCTCTCCCTCATTAGGCTGGTGCTGACAGGGCCAAGGGAAAGGGAAAACAAGGATGTGCTTTGGTGCCCAATATCTTCTTTATCAACGTATGATGTCATTGGTTGTTAGGACACCAGCTGCTGCCCCACACAGTGCCGCACAGTAAAAACCTGTGGCTTTGTGTAAAAAGGCCAGACTTGATCCACTTGCCAGCCTATTGACATTTTGGGCAATCTTTAGGCATTTTTGCCAAGGCATTAAAAAAACAAAAACCAGGAGCACCAAACAAAAGGACAGCAGCTCTTCAATGTGTGCACCACCTTAAACTGATATCAAAAACAAAAAAAGCACTTACTTCCAATAAATGTGCCCTCACAAAATTTGATAGGGTGTGGATAAAACAATTAATATATGCCATGATCTCTAAATAATACAAAATGCATGCATAAACATTGTATGTATCAACTACTCATGAGTAGACAAATCAGTGGAAAAAATATCAATTTCATATAATTACATAAAATAAATAAGTGAAGTGTCTATTCATATAATTACATGGAATAAATAAGTGAAGTGTCCATAACATTAAATATTTGAGTGCTGTGATATACTGATAGAGAACTTCTGAGTTTTGCCAAGGCACCCCTGAAAAAAAACATAAGGCACCCTGCTTGAAAAAGGATGTTCTATACCATAAAAAAAAAAAAAAAAAAATCAAACCATTGGGATCCCAATTATGGTGTGTTCTAAAATGATTTGACACACTGTTTCCCAAAACCTTTCTTTATGTTACTGATATGCTTTTAAAACCTTGCGGTCAGCTTCTTAGTAGTTCCTCCCATATATTGAAGGCCACAAGGGCACTGCAAGATGTGGGTTACATGTGTGCTGTCATATAATATAAACTTATCTATGTCCTACACCAATTTAGTATAGAATAGTATAAACCAGGGCTTAAAATTTCAAGTCCTGAGCTACTAGCCAGGCCTTAAGAGTTACCTGCCACAAACAGACACCTGTACACACACAGGCATGTACATACACGCACAGACACATGTATACACACACAGGCACATACAGACATGCATACACACAGATACATGTACATACACAGAAATACACACGCACAGACACATGTACATACACAGACACATGTACATCATTGGTGTCAGTGTCGGGGGGGGGGGGGGGGATAGTGCCCCATCATTGGTGTCCGTTGGGGGGAGGGGATAGTGCCCCATTGTTGGTGTCAGTGGGGGGAGGAATAGTGTCCCATCGTTGGTGTCAGTGGGGGGGGAAATAGTGCCCCATCATTGCTGTTAGTGGGAGGAATAGTGCCCCATCATTGGTATCAGTGACACCAATGATGGGCCACTATTCCTCCCACTGACACCAATGATACTTACCTTGCTGATCCCTGCTCCAGCCTGGGCTCACTCCCTCCCTCTCCCATCCACAGCTAGCATACCTGGCTGCAACAGCAGCACCATCTGCACGGCACAGACACTTACGGGTCAGCGGTCTTCCTTTTCCGGCCGCTCTCCTCTTCCCTTGCGGCGGTTGCTCTCTCACTTCTTTGATCTTCGCGCTGCTGCTCGGCTCCTCCTCTCCAAGCGCCACCTCCTCACCGGTGATTGGCCGCGTGTGTGCCTTTCCTGAGCTACAGTTCTGACGGCCAATCATCGGCGAGGAGACGGAGCTTGCAGAGGGAGGGATAAGCTGCCATAGGCTGTTGAGTGATCCCGGAGGTGTGGCAAGATGATGGGCGGCATGTCATCCCACACATTGCGATCCAGGGAAATTAAGACCCCCAGACCCGCTGACAACCTCCCTACCCCTCCTCCAGTAGCACCTCGTGGACTGGATTGATGTGGGACTGGGATACGGAGTCACGGACTCAGGTAAGACACAGCATCCCGCCCCTGTACTAAGTGTCCCTTCCATGGGAAAGAGAGGGGGGCGGCGTCGCTGCGCTGCCCCCTAAAAAGTGCCGCAGTAGGCAAATGCCTGTTTGCCTCGCGGCAAATGCGCCCCTGGGACACACACCCGCTGCCACCATAATTTCCACTCGCCATTGGCAAGCAGGCGAGTGGAAATCTCAAGGCCTGGTATAAACCTTTCCTATCCAAAAATGTACCAACTTTTTGAGGGATCAGAAATATAATGAAATATCTTTGTTCTTAAAGCTGGGATTATGCAGTAAATTAAAATTCAGTTTTTTAAGCAGAAGTTTTCCTAATTTTGCATCCCTCATTCGTATTGGCCAGTGTTGCCTGTACTGCCTATTTAAATCCTGTTTATGAAGGCTGTGTCTTGTAATGATTTATGATGTGTATTATTTGTCAACAGCTTTTCTCTGTCCATTGATTTCACATTTCTCCTGGTATTCTCCAGCTGTTCTTCACTATATCCCTGATCAACGAACCTATTAAAAGAGAAGTATGGGAAACATTTAAAAAAAAAAAGAAATCATACTTCCCAAGGTGGATGAAGCATCAGTCCCCTGTCTGCTCTAAAGGTGAGAACTTAGTGATCACATGACGATCGCTGAGTCCTCACCGCCGGTGTGAGAAAAGAGTGGTGGCTGTCAGTCACCTCTGTCTGCTCTACTTGTAATTGCAACAATTTTCTAGGCGAAGTGGTGCATTATATCATGGAAATGCAGGGGCGCCAATATTTCTGGCCATGATTGTGGATACAGTATGTGAGATGATATCTTTTGGGCTGCATAAATTTACCTAAAATTAAAGTATTACCTAAATTTACTAAACTGTTACGGATTTCTCATCCGTGAATCCCCAAATCCTTTTTCATTCAACTCAAATTCTCTCCTCAATCCTGTGGGGGCCTCAGTCTCCAGGTTATAAATGTACTACATTGACCAGGCCTGCTCTGCGATGGGGACTATGTATGCCAGACCTCCACAAATATTTTTGAGCCACCCAACTAGTTAAACTAATGGTGGTGTCTAAACCCTGACACTAATAATTCAGCGACCATTTTACAATTACTCAAAGCCTTTCAGCTCCTCCTGTTTTGAGGGAAAGCGTCCTCATACCTTTTGACACCATCCATGCAGACTACACCTAAGGCCTGGAATTGGGGGTCCAGGTTTGAATCCCATATCCTTAACTACCGTCTCCACAAACATCGCCTTATGGAAAAACCCATTACTGCCCCACTTTTTCTTGCCACCTGACCCACATGGTTGGGCAAAATTATAAGATCAAATCCAAAGCTCATACTGTGAAGGGAGGTCACCTCCTCTCTTTTGACAACCGTTGCACAGTACAACATCCCTTCTCAGTATCGTTTCAGATACTTGCAGGTTGCACATGCCTTCAGGTTTCAATTTCCTCAGAGTCACGTCACTTTGACCCAATCTGCTCTTGGATCTCTACTCCAGCTGCCTTTTGAAACCAACCTCTGATTTATATCAGCTCCTATTGTCTCGCTACTCCTGTGCTCTCTAACCTTGGACAAAAATGGCTGGCAGACATACCCAGTTGGGAGGAGATTTGGGACAGGCCATGTAAGAAGCTAGATTCCATTAGAGTTTGTTTAATTCAATTCAAAATATGTAGAGTGGACTTCCTCTTTTCTAGATTAGGGGAATACCTGGATAATTTTTTAAGGGTAGTAGTTAGCAAAGGGCCCTCGTATTTAAAGGATGGTAAAAATCTCTTCTTTTAAAAGAAGTATCTGTGAAAGAAAATTGCATCTTAGCAAAAGTAGATGTTGAATCACTGTATGCTACTATTAAGCAAAAGGATGGACTTGATGCAGTACAGTGCGCTCTAACTAATCAGACAGAACTCAAAAGAGCTCAGGTAGAATTTGTCATTGAAGCCTTGAAAATGGCTATGGAAAATAATAATAATTCCAGTATGACACTCAGTGCTACAACCAAATCAAAGTTATGGCAATAGGTGTGAAGTATGCTCAAAGCGCCGCCAACATATTTATAAACAAGTGGGAACAGGAAGAAATTTACAGTAGGAATTGGCCGTGCTTAAGGTTGTACAAAAGGTACATTGATGATATTCTCATTATTTGAGAAGGAACAACGGAAACACTGGAAGATTTTTTTAAAAATAGGTTAATCATAATAAATATGGCATACAGTGTACAGGTAGATGGAACTTTAAACAGGTAAATTTTCCTGGATTTGGAGGTGTTCAAACATGAAGAGAAATTGTATAAAAACCTACAGTATTTCAAA